GGGCCTCAACCACCTCCCTGGGCAACCCATTCCAGGGTCTCACCACTCTCATGGTCAAGAACTTCTTCCTCATGTCCAGTCAGAATCTGCCCACTTCCAGCTTTTCCCCATTCCCCCTCGTCCTGTCGTTACCTGATAGCCTAAAAAGTCCCTCCCCAGCTTTCTTGTAGGCCCCCTTAAGATACTGGAAGGCCACAATAAGGTCACCTTGGAGCCTTCTCTTCTCCAGACTGAACAGCCCCAACTCTCTCAGTCTGTCCTCGTAGGAGAGCTGCTCCAGCCCTCAGATCATTCTCGTGGCCCTTCTCTGGACACGCTCCAGCAGGGCCACGTCCCTCTTGTAATGGGGGCTCCCGAACTGGATGCAGTACTCCAGGTGGGGTCTCACCAGAGCAGAGTAGAGGGGGAGAATCACCTCCCTCGACCTGCTGGCCACACTTCTCTTGATGCAGCCCAGGATCTGGTTGGCTTTCTGGGCTGCAAGTGCACACTGCTGGCTCATGTTGAGCTTCTCATCCACCAGCACCCCCAAGTCCCTCTCCTCAGGGCTGCTCTCCAGCCAGTCCCTGCCCAGCCTGTATTGGTGCCTGGGATTGCCTCCACCCAGATGCAGGACCCTGCACTTGGCCTTGTTGAGGCCCTGTGGCCTCATGAGGTTGGCTTGTGCCCACCCCTCCAGCCTGTCCAGGTCCCTCTGGATGGCTTCCCTTCCCTCCAGCGTGCCAGCCACACCACACAGCTTGGTGTCGTTGGCAAACCTGCTGAGGGTGCACTCAGTGCCACTGTCCATGTCCCCGACAGAGATGCTAAACAAGACTGGTCCCAGCACTGATCCCCGAGGGACTCCACTCGTCACTGGCCTCCACTGGGACATGGAGCCATTGACAGCCACTCTTTGGGTGCCAGTTCTTTATCAAGCCAGTAGTATAAGGGTCTAGAGGCAAACAAGCAAATAAAAGAGTAAAATCACTGACCTTACAGGCACTAATAATACTCTGACAGAACAAATTCCCCCACCATATAGGTCAGGAAACTTTCAACATTTGAACTAAGGCTTACTTTTAAATAAATAACAATTTGATACACAAAAAAAAGACATTTAAATCAGTCTGCAATTTGTAGTTCAAAGAATATAGATCCTATAACCATACACAAAACCATTACAGAACTACATTTAACCTGCTAATCTTCTTTGGGGTAAGCCCTCATACTTTCTGAAGAACACAAAAATGTCCTCAGTTTTATTTGCAAACAACAAGGCCATAGAATTATAAGTAGAGCATTTCTTTAATGATTAGTGCCTCCACAACAAGAGTTAAACTAAAATTCTTGTTGCTGCTAGAGCCGTGTTGTAAGGTGGTGAGCACCGTAAAAAAGCCACGAAACCTCAGTAATATTTCACTAGTATGGAATTAACAGCAAAGTTCATCAGAG